TGTAATATTTTTTAATGTATACATATTAATATATTATAATTTATATAATATAATATTTATATATAGTTAGTTTATATATATATATAAATTTTAGAAAACAATTACTTTCAAAATACAACTTTTAATGACAACTCTATTAATTTTGCATTATCATGAACTTTACCCTATAAATATTAGAACAAAAATATATTTCAATTACAACCCTTAAAACTATACTAACCTTATGTTAAATATATATTATCAACAATATTTATATTTTTAATTAAATTATAAATAATTATTTAAAAATAATATTTCCTATTATACATTTTTATCGATCATACAAGTATATTTTTTTTTAAACATTATATATTATTCTCATTATCAAAGAAATTGTCTAATCCAATTTTACGTTAAAAAGAAGAACAGTAACACGATATCATTTTTCTAGTCTCGTCTTAGGTAATTTTGTGACAAGGTTTCATCAACCAGCTAGATCTTCTATCTCTTTTCTTTCTACCCCCATCATTTTGCTTTATTTTCCCACTGGCTATACTTTTTTCTCTAGCTACGTTCCTTCACACAGTTCCTTTTCCTTCGCAGAATCTACTACTCTCTCTCTCTCTCTCTCTTTCTCTCTAACCTCCCGTCGTGACTAAACTTGAATTCAACTGCGCCTTCTTTTCGAACTTGGAAATCGCATTCAAGCCGTGCATGCACCAAGTCGTACCACGGTTGAACCGTTTACTTGGTTTTCTCTAATTGAACAGTACACATCGGATTTAACCTTCGACGGCGTAGCTCGTTTGCGCTTACCCCCATTGTGTGAGACCTCCTGCATTCCAAAGTGGTCTTCTTTGTTTCTTATCCTACTCCCTTTCTCTCTCTCTTTCTCTTTCTCTTTCTCCATCTCTTCTAATTACAAATTTCTCTACTCCCCATGACGTTCCTATTCGTGGTAGAAAATATTGAGAGCTTTATACACCACATAACGTGTTCATGGCTGTTTAATGTACTAACAAAGAAGTGTACACCTTTTAAAAATTAAAAGTTTATATGCGAATGCATTTTCATTCGATAAAATACACCCCAGGAAATCTTATTTTTTGTACAATTTGTTGTAGTTGGAAATTAAAATGCATCATGTGTTAAAATGTTTTAACACTAGATTTGACTTATTTTTAATTTGTTTACACTTCATATATAATATTATATACAAAACTTAAATATTATATTTTTAAAAATATAATATGTTGATTTTTTAATGCTGCAATGAAATATGCGTGAATATTAATTTTTCCCTTGTACCTATTTTTTCATTCAAACTATGTTTCTAAGTTTTTAAAAATTAGTAAATAAAACATTCATAAATCTAGTGTTAAGAAATATATTCTAACTCATAATTTCATTGATTAAGTAATCATTGGCTTAGAACGTAATTGACATTTTTTGTGAATAATATATTTAATTATCTACAAATGTATTACAATTTGATAGAGAACATCCTGAAGAACAGATTCAGTTTTAAAAAAAGAAATAGATTATGTTTTAGAATATTTTAAGAAATGTTTTAATGATTTATTTGATTAGGTTATCGTTGATTTAAAAAATAAACCAATTTTTGTTTTATTTTTAATTTATTAGAAATTTTAATTAATTTTTCTATTCTTAATTATAAAAAATCGGTAGAGTTACATTAATTATTTTGTACTATAAAGTAATCACAAAATATTTAATACTTAAATATAATTAATAAAACAAATTAATAGAAAACAATTTTATTAAAATTTCTTACAAATTATTTCTACATTCGAATTATCAAATATATAGGAATAATCGAAATAGTAATTAAAATAAAACTAAATATCAAATCAAAATTGACCTTAAACTAATTATTATTTATAATAAATAAAAGTAAGTATAATAATAAAAATAACCAATTACTTTTTTCTGACATTCTCTCTCTCTTTTATTCTTTTTATTTTAATTATTAAATTACAAACCCAACGACTTATTTATCTTCCAAAAAGAAAGAAAAAAGAAATTAGCTTGAAAAGTGTGAAAAAAAAAGAGAGAGAGAGAGAGACTTTTAAGAATCAGCTAGTAACTTTAGAGCAACCCCAATACAATCTTCGTTCCTAGTTTAGTCTTATTCTCTTCTCGAATTGTATTTAAACTTACCAGAAGGGGGATAAAGTATTGGTCGTTACTCGGGTCCTTAGTATGAACTCGCTTTTGTCACTGAGTGACTTTAGCAGTTTTGAACTCAGTCAGTTTTCGTTGTTGGTGCATCCCTGTCGTCTTCGTGTTCTCACCTCACCAACAGTTTCACACTCATTCTCTTTCTCTTTCTCTCTCTCTTTCTCTCTCTCTCTCTATTTCTCTTTCTCTCTCTCTCTCTTTCAATTCCCATCGTCGTCGTCTCGCCTAATCTCTCACGAGGGAAACATTTTCTTGATTTTCCGCGGTGCTTTCCCGAGGATATTTGAGAAGAAAGGCCACGTCACTTAGGAGACACGGTGAACCCTTTCCCGCTTTTCCTCGTAAACTGTATTCAAGACGAGTATAATCGTTTTCATCCGCTTTACTCTTGAGATTAAATTTTATGCGCCCCGGCGTGTTCCGTTTTCGAATTTTCTCTCTCCGTACCTTTTTCCTTCATTCTTTCGTTCGTTCGTTCATTCATTTTATGAAATAATCACCTGCAGTGAAGAATAACTTTTTTTCTTCTTCTTTTTTTTTCTTTTTTTTACTTCATCTTGCGGTATCGAATGTAAAATTATATATTTAAGAATAGTTTTAAAACAATTTCAATAAAATTACATTGATGATTTTCTTTCTGTAAAATTTTATTGGATAAAATAATTTTATAAGACGTGAATATGTATATATAAGGCATTGCATTGACATTTAAATGATGAGTTAAAAATTTAAATGATAAATGATAGAAACGATAGATATATAATATTATTTAAATTATGATCGTTTAAATGTGAATAATAAATAAATGTTAAATGTAAAAATAAAAAACAACAAAAATTGTGCCCAGAACTAGTAGTTTCTTTTTCTCATTTTATATGTTATAAGCTCAAAATATATTTATTTTTTGATTAAACTTAAATAATTATGTTACTTTAATTTATAATAATACAAAAAAGAAAGTTTGGAATATTACTCTTATTTATTTCTAATTTAAATTCTCAGAAATTATTGTTTATTATTATATTTTGCTATATTAACAATAGTTATAATTTTTTATCTGCGATAAATATCGAAACTATTCAATCGATCTAAATAAAAATTTATTTTATTTGGTCTGTAACTGGAGCGCGGGTCACGTAAAAATACGTATTTAGTAGATTTATGGTGGATAGCTGGTAACGTATAATTACAACACAGTGAAGTGGACAAAGCACTTAACTATGTATATGTTGAATTGTGCATTTTTTAATGCATATGTAGTATATAACTCGACAAAGATGCAAAAAATAAGATACAAGAAATTTTTAACCAAACTCTCGCGCAATTTACGAAAAAACGTCCGCTGCACGCATAACTTGACGGTAAAGTATACCAGCATGCCAAGTGTTAATAATTATAAAATAAGGACCAAAAAAAAATAAATGAAGAATCATTGACGGATCTTTCGGTTGGCAAATCGTAGGGTTGCTCGTAACTTAAATTTCTCGTAAAAAGAGGAGAAAGGTCCAACTGACTTGAAAATCAGTTCTCTTGTTAGAGAAACTGCATCCCTAAAACATGATTCCCTACCTGTCTTCGTATAAAATCATTTCTACTGTATCCTTAAACGTGGCTTCTTTTGATTGTCGGAAATGAAATTGGATTGTGTTACAAGAGGATCGTTTTATCATCATTCTCTTAAGTTGTACAACGGAGAATAGTAATTTTCTAAAATAAGTATAAAAGTTTAACAACTGCACGAAGTAAAATGAATTTCTTGAGAAATTTTCAACGTCCTAATGAATAACTCGCTTGCAACTATGTATATACAATTGGCTATATTTATCATTTTAATAAAACAACAAGGAGGATTCAGAGAGATATCTACATTAAGAAACTTAACTTGTTCGAATTCGTACGGATTGTTTTGTCGAAGTAGTCCGATCTCATAACGAACATGAGAACATTATTGCACGTAGATGAGAACGTAAAGCTTTAAAACGAAAATTCCTAAAGTCTAGAAAAAGACAGAATATAAGTAATAGTAGTGGTAGTACTAATAGTAGTACCAGTAGTRGTAGTAGGTAGAATATAAAGCGAAGCTGGGTATGAAAGACTCTTATTCGTCGGAGTAAGATGGCGTTGGCTTTGTGCTTGAAAGTAAGGAGAGAATAGCCGACGAGGGAGTCGATTCCAGATGAAAGGATTTCGTTAAAAGCAGATTTACATTTCCTTGACTTCTCGTCGCCTTTTTGCCTACTTCTTCTTTCGTTCGCATAAACGTTCCCTCTAGTCGTGGTTATATTCGCAAACGCAAAACGTTCACTTCTCTCTCTTTCTTCCCCAATTCCCCTCGTTCAGTTTGAAATGACGTTCCTACCTACCTTCCTTCCTACCTTCCTTCCTAACATAGCATTGGTTTGCATTCGAAAATGTTCAAGTTACGAAATTCACGCTTGATTTCCATCTTGATTTCCCGCAGGTGGAAGCTACCTCGACGAATCAGGAAGAACCTGAACAGCAGAAACATCGTAGAGAAGGCACTGGTGGAGTTTCCAGCAGCGAACAGCAACATCAGTATCAGCAACAACAGTGGATCGGCCTCAGTCTACTATTGCAACCATTTCACTACATAAACGGCCAGTTGAATCTACGTTGTACCGCACAAATCCCTGGAATATATTCATCCATGAACGAGATACAACTTGGAGCTGGTTTACGCGAACCTGTACCCGAAAGAGGTAAATATTCTTCAATATATTTCTTCATTTTACTTTATTACAAAAAAAATAAAACCAAACGAAGAAATACTTTGATGAACCTTAGGATTTAGTTAATGAATCAAATAGGTGATTAACAAATTTATAAAATTATTATTATACAAATTTAATACTACTAAATAAAATATTTTTCGTAACGCAAATAATTAATCAACCATTATAAAGTCTAAATTAATTTAGTTATTAATCATTTTTCGCTTATTTTCAAAATAGAACAATATAAACTATGAGTGTAAAATACATGTGTAGCTTCTTTTTTATTTAAAAATTAGCAAATAGAAATAGTATTTTAGATAAACAATATTTTTACAATATGTTGTTAACTCTTCTATGCAATTGGATATAATTTTTATACAGAAAGTTCAACATTTTTATCTAATAGAATCGTCCATTGTAATCAAGTGTACAACGCATGGGTATTTCATTACGTATTCATAACAATAAAAATTCTAGCACACAGCCCACCAAAGCAAAATATATAAAATTCAAATGAACTTAGTTGGACAAACAAAATAGTAAATAGTATGAAAAAAAAATGCAAATGTAAAACCATCCTGTTTAGAATAACACAATCCAATGGTAAATATTAATCGAAATGATCGCAAGGTTAATCCGTTGAGCGTAAGTTATCGTTCGATTGGGGGTAAAAAAAAAAAACAAAAAAAAAACAAAAAAAGAAAAAGAAAACAAGAATAGTATAGCCATTCAGGTCGTAAATTATGATAAATCTCGTTGATAAGGAAATCGTTCGATATATCGTATGCATGCGTATGTGTATAGGGGGTAGTAGGAGGAAGGGAAGAGGAGGTGAATTTCGTTCGGCCGTTAAACTCGTGTCTCCAAAACCAATTATCTTTTCATGCCGTTGGCTATACGTTTTCGATTGTCCAATACCGTTTAATATGTACGACTTTTTTTTTTCTTTTTATTTTTGTCTATAGATGAAAACACGTGGAATTATTATATTACATAAAAAGAAAGAAAAAATAATTCTAACAGAAGCGTTTGATAAAAACGTACTTGACGTATGATTTTCAAAAACTACGTCGGTTTATATTTTCGAGATTTTATATCAAAGGATATCTGTGATAACGAATATATATGTATGTGTTGTATATGTAATGCACGTCGTCAAGTGCAGCATCACACAAATCCCTTAAATCAAATAGGTTAAATGTTTTGTTTAAACAATGAAAGGTTATAGTATTAAATCGGGTAAACTAGTTGAAGCGTGTAAAAGGTTAAAGTTATCGGGTAGAATGAATTTTGCAATGGGTGTCGATAGAAATGAGTGTTAATTATTGACGTATAACTACTAACCTTTTATAGGAATAATCCTAATTCAGAAAGTGACTATTGTTACTAACTGAATATAATTGGGATTATATATATAGGTGCGATTCAACGAACCGTTTTCTCATTTGAGGGTATTAAACATTTACAGCTTTGCTGTTTCTCTCTCTCTCTCTCTCTCTCTCTCTCTCTCTCTCTCTCTCTCTCTCTTTTTCTCTGTCTTTGTCCAATAAGGATGAAGAGAGCAAAAAGAGGAAGAGAAGAGAGGTGAGTGGAAAGCATAGAGGTGGAGAATGCTTTAAAGAGAGGTAGAGGTAGAAAGAGAAAGAGAGAGAGAGAGAGAAGGCTATCTCGGCTACATGAGTGCCGCGACGAGTGCAGGTAATAGTTGCACGCTCGGCCTGGCTATTCGAGGATTAGACGGTCGAGCGCACGAGCTAATAAATTTCGAGAGGGTCCACCCACTGGAAATCGAAAAGGAAGCCTCCGGTACAAGCTGAACTCGCTTCCTGCACGCGACGTCGACGAGATTTAATTGAGCGGCCACTGGTATAACCTCCGGTCCTATTACCTTTCGAATACCGTGCCCTTTTCTGTCCTTCTTCATTTTTCCTCCCTTTCCCCTTTTTTTCTCTTTCTCTTTTTTTTTACTCCTTTTTTTTGAAACTTTTTGATTTTTTGTTTTCTTTATCTCATTTCCTCTTTGTTTTTTCTTTTTGTTTTTTTTTTTTGTTTTATTGTCATTTTCATATCGATCTAAATTTCCGTTTGATTTCTTTTATTTTTTTATTTTTTTATTTATATATTCTTCACTTTTTTAAAAATATTTTTAAATATTTTCTTCTATGTATATGTTCTCTTTCTCTTTTTTTTTTATCGTCATTTTCATATTGATCTAAATTTTCGTTCGATTTATTTTTTTTTTATCTATGCTCTTCTTTTAAGTATTTTTAAGTACAATATTTTGTTTTATGTATACATTCTCTTTCTCTTTTTTGTTTCTTTTTTTTTATCGTTATTTTCATATCAATCTAAATTATCGTTCGATTTTTTTTTTTATTGATCTTCCACTTTTTAAAATATTTTCTTCTGTGTATATATTTTCTTTCTCTTTTTTTTCTTTTTTTTTTTTACTTCTTTAGTCTTTATTTTTGCCTACTTTTGTTTTTTGAATCTCCTATTTGTTTCCTGGAGTTCATATTGATCGATTTTTTTTTAATACGACTCTTTTTATCGATCCTTATTACTAATATCGGTCTTGAGTATTTCTCTGTTCTTGCGTGAATTCTCTTTTCAATCTTTTTTTTCTTCCTATGTTCTTTGTTTCATTTTTTTTGGTTTTTTTGGTTTTTTTCTACTCTTCATTTTTCGATGCCTCTTGATTTTTTTTTACCCATTCTTTTGCCGTATTTGTGTCAATCGAAATTTTAATGCGATTCTGTTTATCGATCCACCGTTTTTTTATACTAATACTACTCTTGGGTATTCCTTCCTTTGCGTGAGTTCTATTTTCTGACTTTCTTCTTTTTTTTATCTCCATTTTTTACTTTTCATTTTTCGAAACCTCCTGTTTTTCTACCGTTTTTTTAAATCATGTTTTTTAATCAATATTTTAAGTTAATTTCATTTATAGATCCTGCATTTTTACAGTAAGGTTTTTTTTCATAAAATAGAACAATAAGTTGTAATATTGCCTCCTAATTTTATATTTCTTTTTTAAATCTAATTTTTAATTAAAAATTGCTTAAATTCCTGTTTCTAGCTGAAAAAAAAACTAGTAAAGAAGTGATAAAAGAAAAGACATTAATTTAGAATATAAAATGTATCGTAAACAATCTAAAATTAATAAATTGAAATAAATAAATATTAAATTTTAAATATTTTTAAATATTAAACTTATTATTGAATTGAATAAAATTTAGAAGTATAGAAAAACTTTACAAAACTTCGAAATATTTAATGGTATTATAGAAAATAAATTTAATTAACTTTTTACTTTTTTTTTCTTGAGGTTTGTTAACCCGGGCACTCAGTCTCTGGACCATTGTGCCCGGGCCCCTTGCGGGGAAAAACCTATGACCGTAACGGTCCCACGGGTAGCCCCGACTCCCTTGCAAAGCGCAGCAGTCTGGCCACCCCTGAGCCCACTAGGTCGAAGTTGTTGGCGATGGTCCCAAGGACATCATTTCTGACGTCCGTGAGCCCAACGCATTGAGTTATGAGATGGAGGGGGGTATCCTCCCCTTCGTCGCACCTGCCGCAGACCGAGTCTTGTGCAAGGCCCAGTCGCGTAAGGTGCTTTCCAAAGTGCCAGTGCCCGGTGACCAATCCCACAACCAGCCTCAATTGGGCTCGGTCTAGGTTGATCAACTCGGTACCTAGCTTCCCCGAGGGCCCTGAGAACAGAGCCTTCGTGTGCCTCATGTCAGGGTCTTGTACCCAGAGATCCCTGAAGCGGTCCGTGGCCCACTTCTTAGTCCTCCTAACTTTTTACTTGCGAACAGCGCCTTTAGGGGTTATGTTCATTTACTATCATCAAATGTTTCCAATAATAGACATTTATGGTTTCTTTTGATGCAAACGTTTCTTATTTAAAAATTTATTTTAACAAAAAACAATTCGTGTATTTTGCCGTCCGTGTTACTCAGCAAAAGGGTTAAAATAACAACTTATAACTTGTATCACTATATTACTATACAATAATGGGAATTTTTTATTCTTTTTTATTCCTTAGTTTTATTAGGTCGTCCCACATGTTTCTCCTTTTTTTTTTGTAGTTCTACGGCACTATATTTTTTAGGTTGAATAACTTAAAGTATAGAAAAAGATAAAATAAAGTAGAATCGATATTATTTAGTAAAATAACGTAAAGTACAAAAGAAAAGTATATTGCACATGCAATATTGTTTAACTCATCACCAAAAAAAGGAAGAAATTTTCGGGACGACCTAATATTTAATTAATTCACTCCTAGTTCATTAATCCTTACAGGCACTGTGCACCTTGTAATGTACATAATACTTTACTTTTTTTTTATTATATAAAATTTATTATATTTATTATACAAATATTACTCACAGGATCTCCTTAATGTTTCAAATTTTTCTTAAGGACCATATATCCATTAAACTATACATTTACAAATTATAAATAAACAAATAAAAAATATATTTTCACTTTCATTCACGTGAATGTTAATTTTCGTATTAAAATAATTTTTCTTAACCAAAAAAAATTCGGGTCTAAAGGGGTTAATAAAATTTCCTATATTTTTTAAACTATATTTAATATTCTTCATAGTTATTAAAAAAAAAATGGTTTCTTTTTTACTACGAAAATATTACAATTAGGTTATAAAGGATAAGTAATGAAATATGATAATAATGATAGAATAAGAAAAGTATAATAAAAAAGTGACATTAAAAATTGTGAAAGTATGCTATTTCAGAATACGCGATAATCGAACTATGATTGCTTAAAACTATGATGTGCTTAATCCGTAGGTCTTTTGTTTTATTCACCAGGCAACGCCTGGCACAATTCTTTTATCGTATTCTAATGACCGTAGTGGCATTGTTGGCGTCGAGCACAATTTTTCACTTTAATTACATTTTCGACAATGTGTGTTATTATCACGAAACGCACTGTTCCCCTATATATATTCATGG